GCACGAAACGATAATGAATAGCAATAATAAAATCAGGAGGCTGATAAATCAACGCCACGAATCGGCGTAGGCTCTCTTCCACGGCCACAAACTCCACTCGATATGAGCCTCCGTCCTTTAGATTAACCACGTCGATTGTGGCTGAGCCCTTCGGATGACACCTGTAACCATTCCACAAGCGCATGCAATCTTGATAGGATCGGATGCACACCGCGGGACAGTGCTTCCTGGGTAGAATGTTGACAGTAGCACCCGTGTCTAACTGGAATCGTATGGCTTTGCTTTCGATCAAAAGACTTGCGTTGTCAATTTTACTATCCATTCTGAGACACGCTGCCAGTTTAATGTTCTACGTTTGTGGGTGACTTGTCACGAACGAGTTCACCCACATTGATCGCTGCGAAGAAATGAGCAAAGTTGTTCCTTTTTCCACTTTTGTCGCATTTTTGTCTGTATGCTAGACACTGTTCGCCGGTGTTCAGTCATCACGCAGCTCAAATTTGCCAATCTCTTGTCTCGCATTTTTATCCTACGTTGTTTTGCTTCCGAAAACGACAAACAATTCTGAGTTGGATGAGAGTTTCATTTGTTGGTATTGATAAGCGGTCGAGGACTCATTGGTTCTGATGCCAATTCCATGTTGGAGTGATAGATTGTGTTGTTGCAAAGCCGCTTTGTCCTACCTACATCCCTGGTTCCTACAATAATCTTATCGCGTGTGAGGCTGTCGACTATTCAGTTACAAAAATTGCAGGACGGCGACAAAACGCGTCGACGGGTTCATCTGCGTCTCTGTTTCGCTAACAGAAAAGGTAGCGCTGATAGATCTTGTTGATTTGACCTTCCCGAAATTCACTGAAATTTTCCTTGTTCTTCTCTAAATCATTTGGATCTTTGTCTTAGTGCAACATCTCTAGCACATCGCACCTCATCCCCGACTAAGTGTCGAAACATGGCCGAACGATACGCCATTGACTGCTAGTCGAAACGCACCAGTTTGCAAAACTCATCCACTTGTTCATCCATAGACGCCAATTACACCAATTTCCGTTCATCCATGGTTAATGGGGCAGGCATATGAATAGTCACTGATGAGCAAATCAGCATCCGAGCACCGCCAGTGAGGATCGTCTAGATCTTCCCTGACACCATATCACAGAAATGTCTCCTTCAGTGACAACTGTTTATTCGGTAAGTTCAACACGGCGAAAATTGCAGCATGCTAGCAATCCAAACTGCTCGATCTAAGTTGTGCGTTCAAGTCCATAACTAACATTTTTGGTTCTGTGAAGTTCCTCCTTTGCTTCAGCTACACAAACGGTGAGTAATTCACCAAAATATAGGGCAATCCATGACGAGTAGCCGAATTCGTTACACCCGTCTCGCACTGGTTGTCTGTCCCGCTCAGTTGGTCTAACTGTGCACTTTTATATAGCACTCAGGTCAAGAGGACCTTAATGTCCCTTTGTTGTCCTTTGCTGCGGGACCTCGAGCGCTGCGAGATCATAATTAGGACAGTGGTGCCACAGTACGACGACACATTCCTTGCGAGATTGCACGTGACTGCAAACCGATCAAATACTCTGCTCAGTAGGTCGACATGTTGGTTGTCATTTTATAACGTTTCTTTTAGATATTTTCGAGCACTGGTGATCGTTCTGTACCAGTGCCTCGAAAAGTAACCCCTCAGAAACGTTTGGTAAGGTTATAGGTTGTGGAATAGAACCTTTGTACTTCTGAAGGTTATGATGCTTCAAAGTGACAGAACATATAAACGACACATTCTCTCTACACTACGTACCACTTCCTGACAGTGTATGACGATTTAATGTGTCTTATTTTAAAGACGACACTACTGTAACGCATGTGCGACTGTCTTGGGTCACTATTATATTTATAGAAAGTAGATACCACGATTAAACTGCAAAATAGTCTGCCTCGACGGGGAATCGAGCCCCGGACGTACGGATTACCGGTCCGTTGCTCTACCAACTGAGCTACCAAGGAATGACGATCAGGTGCGCAATTTAACACATGACTTCAGCTCGGTTCGCGACGTATTGCCAATAAGCTCACAGTATCTGTCCTGATGTTGCAGCTTGGCCCACTCACTCGTCACTTCCCAATGAACCGCAGTATCTGTCCTCCAGATGTTCAAATGGCGCTGGTAAATTTAGATTATTGGTGGTTTTGTGAGTAGTGTAATTCTGTAGAAAGTCGAAGCCACGATTATGTACAATAACCTGCCTCTGCGGGGAATCGAACCCCGGACGTACGGCTTACCGGTGCGTTGCTCTACCAACTGTTATATTTGCCTCGGTCGTGAACTGCCGAAGCATTGCAACTAGACTCATGTGATGGACGTAGCTTTTTGGAGCAGACGGAATCTTGAAATGCACCCGCCTGCGGGTAAAGTGCTATCTGGTCCACGTCAATAGTTCGAGGTTAGGAGGAAATTTAGGCATATTAGACCCAACAGGGATACCCGAATTGTTCAGAGAAATGTTTCTCGCGGAACTCCATTGATGACTTAGCAAGATGAGGACCACGATCGATCAAGTTCAGAATTCCGCACGCGGTTCCAGCTCTTCCCACCTAAAGTCTAAACAAGGATTAAACCAGTCGTGGAGTGCAGTTTTGAGAGCGAACGGTACCGAAAATACCCCAATGCGAGTTTCGTCTGCTCTGTATGAACTGCAACCACAACTCGGTTATCGCTCGCGTTACAGTTATTCACTACCTGCTTCGGGGGTGAACTTAGACTCTTTTCTAACGACATGACGCCAGTCCGACATGGTGAGGGAAATCTACTTGTTGTGCGTTTCTAATTGGTGTCATATATCGACAGAATCGGACCACGAGTGTCACTGAGGAAGGCCACGCAGCCAACTAGTTGGAGTTGTCCAGGATTACTCAGAAAACACCTGCCGATCGACCAGATCCCGTCATTAGGTGGGCACTGGAAACGACTAAGGCTATCGCGATTCAAACGCACGAACCGATCAGTACAAATCCACCCCGACGTTGCGATCCCCCTGAATAAAATAATGTGACCATTGTTTCGTGGAAGCAGATACGGCCTATTACTGTTGTTCAACCAGCATCGATTACTAGTGTCCTTCCATAACTGAGCCATAAGTAGTAATTAGTAATTAGGATCCATCCATACCAATGACACATTTATTTGTGGTAGCCTGATAGGGATGTATTTAAACCATGTCTACTTACTCCACCAGTAAATCCAACGCACTTTTTCATAGGTTGTCTGCTGGGTACCCAATTTCCGATAAGTTGCCTGCCTTCATGGTTTGCTTTTCTTAGCGACCTGACGTAGGCGCATATTATTTTTGTTTGCTCACATTGCCACAATATAATTTGTCTAATCTTTTGGTTTGATGACTGCGTTTGAGCCGTTGTCTCATGTGGTCATCGTGTTGCATCTACTAAATTCTGACGTCTTCCACGATCATCTATAGTCCAATACACATGTTCCATATATTTTGTATGTTACAGGAACTGAGTGTTGATGAAAGGTAAACATGCTCCGAGCAGCGTGTTTTGTTGCATCTTACCTAGCACTGCAGCCGAATCTGTATTCCGCAGAAACTGTAGCAACTTGTTCAAGAGCTCGGGAACTGTGCGGAGAGTTCGCTCATCTCAGCAATATTCTCACCGTAATGCAATTCAAACTGCACATCCAGCAGTTAAGCTCTCCCCATTTAGATCGCTGTTGCGTGTCAAGGCAGAATGCACAGGTTCCATTTACGGCACCAATCCGCGTTAACCTCAACTGAGCTATCCTGACGGAAAAAGTCTACATGTCAATTCGAGTGCCTTACTAACATTTACCTTCACTATGGTTTATCCGTTACACATCTGTTCGTGATTTAATAGCACGAAGCTGTAGAAGTGATGTTTGTCTTTGGCGGAGTTGGTAAACGGACTCTTTCTATCAACCACTCTTTCTTCTCCGGGTCTCGGTGCAGTCGTGTGAGGTTACGCGTTTCGTCTTCGGTCTCAACTCGTATGTGTACATTAGTTGTGGCTAAGTCTCGTAGGCCACGTCGATTGGAATTGATTAGGTTACTCTGCACTTGGATTAATATTAATGAAAAGTGTTTCTCACTTCCTGGTTAAAAGAGTTGAAACGATTAGGACGTTCATACCAGTAGATGAGAAGACAGACTACCGGTTAGAAGTGTGGTATAAAGCTTTTGGTTTGTTTGTTGCCTCCATAAACATGGTGAACATGGTCATTATAATTTTGTGATAATAACAGACTGCCACTAATCAACAGCCCATCTAAGGCATTGCTGATGTATAGCGGGAACTCCACGTCTGCTAGATAAGCCTTTGATGGTTCTGAGCGGGCAGATCACTGATGACGCACCACACTGGATGAAGTTGATTGGAACTTGTTAAGTCCATGACATAGTGCAGGATGAAAAAGATGACAGGAAGAGCACACCGCATCGGATTATGCGTTTTTCCTAGTCAGTGTCCTCAACTTGGGCTAGATTTTTCCATATTCTACCTTCGCCGATATGGTCCAAACGTGCCTTCTTTTTCACCTTTCAATTCTTACGACGCGTACAACATTCATCTTAATTTCTTATCCTAATCTGTTTTATGGTTAGTGTTTTCCGAAACTTCGTGTTACCTTTTTCCTTTCTGCTTTACATTGTTTCTTCATGGTGGTGACGTACAAGGCATCTTAATTAGTCACTGAACAGTTACTTCCCAGCACGACCATTTAGCTTATACTAGCACTTGATCATGTGATGTGATTGTGTTTTCCGCTGAGTAGTGCACTATTCTTTTCACTGCTTGTAATGAAGCGTTATCCACCAGACGTCGCCTATTGATGCTCGAATAAATGGTGGGTGACAGCGGATCTAAATGATACCGTGCAATCAAACGCTTACACAAGCAAATACAATAGATTCAAACTGTTTGGTTTTATAGATACGCATGATGCGTTCCTACTTCGTGTCTTTCAGATGGTTCGTCCGCCAAGTGGGATACCCTGTGAAACATCCACTGTTTGCTGTGATCACTCTACTCATGACAGTCAGCTTCATTTCAGTGCGAATAATCAGCTCTCCACCATTCTGGATCCTTATTCATCGTAGTCTGAATGAACTTCAATCACTGGATGCTAAAAATCGTGCAGAAGCTTATCGTGTACCGTTCTATTTCATGTGTTTTATGTTGGATTTGCTTAACCTATTCTGGTCTGTTCATCTCGGGTTGCGATGTCGATCATCCGTTAGAGATCTACTAGATCACTATCGATCCTCGAAAAATAAAAAGAAGCATGACGAATTGTGTCAAGCGAACCAGGAGATTGCGCCTGCTTCATACTGATTCATTGTATCCCGTCCAACGCGTGTAAACTATGTATCAAGACCAATTTATTTTTACACACGGAAGCATGTCTACTAATTGTCAGTTTTGTCTACAAATTTTACATTACTACTAAGGTGGCTGGCGGATTGCTTCATCGTATAAGTTGTGGGGGCATGCTCACTTGCATTAACTTCAAATTCAGTTACTCTTTTTGCTTGCTGGCTGATCGAGAAATTATCATGTTCCGGGATTGTGTCGAATATGTCCACGTCCTTTTGATAAGTAACAAATTTGACGATCAGATTTTCAACAGCACAATGATCTCGTGAGAAGCAAAGGTTTACGTAACTCCAAGTGCAGTGCGCATGTCCTATTACCACTATGAAAAACCGTTGCAAATTAATGGAACACTGGAACTGTGGTTTATTTTGGGTAAAAGTGGCATTCGCTTGGCAGTTTTTGTTGGTTGATCAGGGAGAGAAGCGCATAAACAGAAACTAAACATCTGAAAACTCATAGCAGCATGATAATGGAATTAGAAGAGTTTAAACATGGGAATTTGTGATGTCAAACAACGCAACAGCTAGTTGTGGATAGAGCCTTAGTGCTCACTGGCTGGCGTGGATTTACTTGCGTCATCACGGAGTATATCTCCAAGAAGCCAGTCAGCGAGAATACATAACTGACGCCATCTCCATGTGATATGGTGTAAACATATATGCTCGATGTTCAACCGTATTTATGAAAACGATTAAAGTGGAGGTAAATGTATAAATACGCACACGCAACAGTGTACTAATAAACATAGAGCCATCAAAAACCATTGAAACCAAAGGAAGATGCAGTTGTCGTAAAAAGGAAACCGAATACAACACAGCAGTCTGTGGTATGCCCATGGAGCACGATACTACTCAGTTATCCAATCTGTGATAGAGGGACTTTACCCGTAGCTTTTGACTGAACGGCCTGTTTGCAAGGTAGCGAAGGTAGCGGAGCGAATTCATGGAGTCGTGCCATTGGGAGTCAGTGAGTGATTGCCCAGTTCATATGCCTACGTTTGGCCGGTTGAACGCAGAGGCCCAATCCTCCCCAAAATTTCAGTTTCGCATTACTGAAATGCAGTGCTCCACTGGAACGAAGCAAGGAGCATTGAATCTATTTAGTGGCGAATCACTTCCGCTACTCCGCAGTGTTGTTAAACGGACATATGTGACTTTTTTTAGAACACTTACTGGACGAAAACAATACGTCCTGGGACACTTCTGCCGAACCATCGGCGGACCGGAGAATCCCGAACCACCTAGCTACCACTACCTGCTGGCTGTTCAGCAAGACAGCACAGATTACAGAGTTTAGAAAGGCTTTCCAGGATCAACAGACCCGTAGGGATAAATGAGTTCGCTGACAATCCAAACAAACGTATTTTTGACTTAATTTTAAGCTATTGCCACTAAGGCAGTTTCATGGGGTGGCGGATACGTGACTGGGTTCGCTCGGTAATTTGTGTAAATTCGTGGCATCTGCGAAGCAGCTAGAAGTTTCGAGTGGACCACGTGAGTTTCCTCAGTCGTGCCTTATACAGAAGGCGGTGCAAATCCCTGATATATTTCGTTGCTCGACCTCAAGAGGCCTAGAACGCTGCGAGGTCAAGCTTTTACCAAGTTTGATAAGTCTGATAACATATTCTATGTGGGACGCACGTGCCCAGTGGGCGTCAGATAGTTGATCGATGAATCAGAGCATCCGGGTGCCGTTCGCAAAAATTTTGTTACGTCTTATTAAAACGGACTCAGATTGTCTGGAGCAACCAAGGTTGTCTTGTAAGAGCCTGCCTAACTTACCTTTCTGAGTGGTGGTCTTCACACCGTGCACCCTAAGGCTGTAGATATAGACGTTTCGATAGCGGATATAACCAAGCCGTTACTTGCCTACATTGCATGGCAGTGAGTTCCTCATCGAAACATTGCATACCTCATCAACGTCTGGCTTGAGGATTACATGGTCGCTCAATACATTTATCGCTCGTTACATCTTACCACCATTTGCAGTGTCAAAATTTCGTGGTGTTACTTCTTGCTACATCATCAGTGTAGAGGAGCAACTGATGACCTCAAGGTACCGAAGCTTGAGATGCGCCGTACTTTACTCGAGTTGGGTCGGACGCAGACGTCCCGACTTGGAACTCCAGCTGTCGTTTGTAGATTAATTTGTCAATCCATCGCAACACTAGATCACCAGTATCGGTTTTCTGAACCTTCTAAAGCAGTATACTATGGTCCAGGTGATCCCACGCTTTGGAAATATCGCGCTGGATGACATGTTTTGAGTAAGTGCCTTGTAGTGAGCAAACTTGTAAACTGACCAAACGACATCTAAGAAATGCTATCGCACAATAAACTACAAGCGTTTGGTGTTAGCACTATTCCTGTAGGGGAAATAGAGATGCCACAATCTAATTTACAGCATCTAATAAATGACGTAAATACGAATTGGGTTTTGTTTAGGATTGTCCATTTGCGATATAATTCATAGTAGTTAAAAGCTTAATTAGAATAATATAAGTCCGTGTACGTTAACACGCGCTTTAGAAATTGGGAGAAATCGAAAACACCGCTAGTTTCATTAGGGCCAACAGGCAGCTAAGGGAAAATGATTCTGTGACTCTTACATCCCACAGAATGCATAGATTTCATCACTAACTGAAATGAACGAGATTGCCGAGAACTCTTGACTTGCCCGATTTCTAACGCGTCCAGGTAATATATCCAGGCGGCCATCATACAGACTATTTTGCAGTAAACCCAATGGGGAAAATCAACTCCGTGGATAACGAACCTGTCCAATTCGAATCACACTCACGCCTAACACTCATATCTTCAGTTACTATTCTGATATTGGAAGCTCCATCCTCTATGTATACCAATGCTGGGGGGCCGCTGTAGCAAATTATCTGAGCTTCAATCTAATCAAGCCTTGATGTCTATGAAGCTGGTGAGGGTAACTGAGACCTGACTGAACTAAGAATGCACGAGTGCGGGGATCACTCTATCTGGTATATTAATCCTACGTAAAGATCGACCTAGTGGGAGAGGTGGCATACTTGTTTACTATCGCATTGACTTACATCTCCAACTCGTTGCTGATCCAGAGATTAAAGTTGTGGATTCACTTTGGTGCCGTCTGTAACTAAGAGGCGGCAACGCATTTTTATTTGCGTTCGCATACTGTTTTGCCATGTCCAACTTAGCAATAGACAGCCGTCTATCTTCTGCATTGCAAATCGTCCTGACTCAGCCTAACAGTTTCATTTTCCTAGTGGAAGACTTCAGCTTACACATACTAAACGTTCCGCTCTTACCTCGCGGGCAGATTAAGGCGGAACGAAATGTATTAGTCGCTGGCATACTCCTCCATAATCACGTTAGTTCTCCTACGAGATTCAGAACAGGAAAAAGGCCAGCCATTTGTTACCTCGTTTTTATCAATGCGGAATTTTTTTATCGAAAAAGTGACAGTGGGTAGACCCCTGAGGTGCTGTGATCATGCACCATCACTTTTCCGCTATGTCTGCTACACTGAGCAGTCCAACAGGGAAATCGAAGAAGTCTGCAAAGCAGCATATCACAATACTTTATCCAACATCAAGATGGTGACTGATTAGTCGTTTCTAGCGGAACACCCCGTAATGTCGCTTGTGGAAAGTTCGTCACTCAGTTCAACATCTTGTTAACGAAAGCTTCATAGACTATGATCCTTAGCTCAAAAAGGATAAGGCCCTTCCTGAGCAGAAGGACGCGGGAACGAATGGCCCTGAGAGATTCACTTTGGAAGACATACAAAACCGATCCAACCGCCATAAACTGGAATGTTTGCACCACCGAGCGAAGCTACTGTGTCAAACTGTTTCGCGAAGGTACCTTGAAATATCAACAACATTTGGCGAATAAGTTCCGCTGCAATCCTAAGATATCTTACGGACATGTTAACAAACTTCGCAGAGGGCAGCGACGTATCCCTCCTCCGAAAACCCCAGTTGGGTTAGCCGAAAGTGCTCAAGTAGCAGCTAATGCTCCTAGACGTCAATTCGATTGTACTTTTAAGAACGCACCACCATCTCATACAATTCTCTTTCATACCACAGCACTACTTGGACTTAGCCACATCTGCTTCACAGCCTTGGATGTGTTGAAAGGACCAATGTCACTGCGGGAATACAGTTCATATGGTCCGGATAGCATACGCTCTAAGTCATTGATGATAGCTGCCGCGGGCTCGGCTGAACCATTGTTTCAATTTTTCCGGTGCTCCGTGGACGATATTCAAGTCCCAAAAATGCAAGGGCGCGGAATGGTCACCCACATTTACAGAGCAGGCAATCGTGCACTGTTAACAGACTACATCCCAATTATAACTTTTATTATGAATGCTAATGGCATGAACTCTCCCTGAGTAAGCAAAACTCATGTGAGATTTAGTATGGCGCAATAGTAACGTGTATGGATTCCATCAAAACCACTCATGTATGACGAACGTTTTGTTAGAACGTGCCAGCTGAACGGAATCCGTTGGTGCTAGATAAGAAGCGACGCCTCCTACCACGCTCTTTCAATGACATTCGATAACGTAGATCACCGTATTTTGTTTGACAAGCTCCGGAGCTATAGGATCAGTGATTCTTCCTACTTCAAAGACGCCTGAATTCGTGGATTCCTAGCGCCATGTCCGATCCAAACTAACATCACTGTGGCGTCCCGCAGGGATTGGTGCTAGGACCACGGCTATTCCTCATGCTCAGAAACGAACACGCGACAATACTGACGTCGAACTTTCTCCCCTTTGTGGACTACCTCAAGTTTTGGTGGGCAATCATGCGAATTGATGGCTATCTATATTGCAAAGTGATCTCGTCAGGTCCTAAGAATGGTCGACTCAGAACATGCTTGACTTAACTCTGCCAAGTGCAAACTAATGAGCATGCGCCACCAGAACACCTGAGAATATCGACGGGGAGAGCACTT